TTAATCTGGGGTCACCACTGCGGAATGAACCTCCAACTTATCCAGCATAAGTTTTACGCAGCGGACGCCCTTCCAGCTGCAACCCATCACTTGGGTTGATAGAAATTGATAGAAAACTAATATCAATAAAATAATGTGAAATAACTTTTTAATTGAAGTTCTGAAATAATTCATCATTAATTAATAATTAATAATAATAATGTGAGACTGATGGGGTGGCATAGTGGCTCAGTGGTTAGCTTTGTCGCCTCACAGCAAGAAGGTCGCTGGTTCGAGTCCCAGCTGGGTCAGTTGGCATTTCTGTGTGAAGTTTGCATGTTCTCCCCATATTCGCGTGGGTTTCCTCTGGGTTCTCTGGTTTCCCCCACAGTTCAAAGACATGCTCTATAGGTGAACTGATGCACAAATTGGCAATAGTGTATGAAAGTGAATGAGTGTGTATGGATGTTTCCAAGTACTGGATTGCAGCTGGAAGGGCATCCGCTGTGTAAAACTTATGATGGATAAGTTGGCGGTTCATTTCGCTGTGGCGACCCCTGATAAGTAAACGGAGTAAGCTGAAGGAAAATGAATGAATGAATGAATGAATGAATGAATGAATGAATGAATGAACGAATGAACATTACGCATTTGGAATAACAATATTATAACCAAAACATAATGTTAATAAGTCATCAAAAAAAATCTGATGTTTTAAATGATCTAAGAACCTTTTACCATAACGTTCATGTAACTTAGCCAGAATGTTATTTAAATTGTTCTGGTAACATTAGAGCAATGTGAATATAATGTTCTAAAACGTTTTAAATAACATTCTGAGAATATTAATATAAAAAGAAACTGAAATGTTTTGAAACTTTTTTTTTTTAGAATAACATTCTTATAACCAAAATTTAAGTTACTATACCGTCAAAAAACTGGACATTTTGAACGTTCAAACTACATAAAAAGGGGTAATGTTATATAATTGAATGGAAATAAGTACTTGTACATAGCAGTGTTAATTTCGTTGAAGAACATTTTCTGTCAGAATTTTCATGACGAACAAGTTTCTACTGATGAAAACTAGACAAAAACTAAATAAAAATTAAGTGATGATGACTACAACTATAATAAAAATATACTGACATTTTCATTGACTAATAAAAACAAGAGAATGTGATTGAGGGACATTTTTTTGGAAAATGTCCAATAAATCTGAGCGCACATTTTACAAGATAACACATTATCATTTGCCAGTCATACAGTATGTTATTAACTCTACTTATTTAATCAGTGCTACACAGCTGAGCACCATGTACTGTATAAGCAACTACAACAGTAAAGCTTGCTACAGACTGACATAGCCAAGTGAACTTAAACTTTTTTAAGCCCTTTCAAAGTTTAAAAATAGTTTGAAACGGTTCAACAGACTGGTTAAAAAGACGTGCAGTGTACCATGTTAAAATAAAGAGTTTGCTAAATAATAGCACAATCATGCATTTTCATTTTGACATAATCTTTTATATTACTTAATTTTTAGTCTTCAATGGAAAAACCATGTTCTATATTTTAATATTTTTTCATTATTTTTTAAAAGTTTGAATATTTTGTATAAATAAATGTACAATATGAATTAAATAACATTAAATTAAACTAAATATATTTTAGTCAACTAAATCTAGAGGAGATTTAATCTCCTCTAAATCTTATGAAATTCAGTCGACTAAAACTAGACTAAAATTAAAATGAGTCAGAAAACGAAAATATGAAAAAAACTAAAATGGAATTTTCATCAAAAGACTAAGACTAAAACTAAATAAAAATTTGCTGTCAAAATTAACACTGATTTATAGCCATTTTAAAAGGGAATTCTCATTGAAACCATCAAATTTGTGCATTACTTTAGTGAAATAAATGTAGTGTATATTTTATTTAATCAATACAATCATAGCATTTTTGAAAATCTGTAATCAATAGCGTTTATTTTATGTATACACGTTAAAACACTCTAAAAATGCCAGGTTGAATCATTACAAACATTGACATAACATGGACAAGCTAAACGGTTGGGTTACATTTGGGTTCAATTTTTTTTTTAAACAGTTGAACACTTTTTTAATTTCATTTTTACAGTTTGTAGTATAAACATACTATACATTAAGTCCCAATATTCAATAATGACTATCCCCAATGCATGTATGAGGTACGAGGTAAAAGATACAAACTGTATATAGGGGCTTGGATTTTATGTCCTGTTCATCCACCCTGGAAAATGAATGTCAAGTCTGCATGAGCTGCCATGCGCTGGCTGGTTCTGACAGCAGGAGAAACACTGATAAACGCTCCTCCTCCTGTCAGTGCGCAGCTCCAACATGTCAGTCCCATTTC